GTGAGCTGGGCGGAGCCGCGTGTGCCATGTACTGGGGCGTGCGAGGGTGCGAGCGTATGACCTGGTGGGCGACGGCCGGCGGCGGACGCAGGTGCTGCTGGGATCTGGCCAGGGGCCTCTTCGGATGAGCTGCAGGAAGTACCCCTCCGTGGCTCCGTCTAAGGCTATCCGCACTCGTTCACCTCTATTTCCATCTCTACAAAGGAATATTCTATCCTAGTTATCGAGATTCTCTACTCTATACCCATTTCTCCCGCACCCGTGTTATCTTTATCTCATACTCTATACCCACTATTCCATATTTTATTCCCCTCCCTCCCCTTTCTCTCTCTCACCAACTCTCGCTCTCTCTCCGCTACAGTGTTTAGCGCGCCTCCCTCGCCTGCGCTGTCTGTAGCGGTGGCAGGCCCGGCCGGTACGCTAGCGCGCGGTACGCCACCGCTAGCGTACCGGCCGTTTTACCGGGCAGCGGTGTGGACAGCCTAAGAATGAAGAATCTCCGTTTTGCAAGGAGTTAATAATTTTAAATTCCTGATTAAAAAATAAATTTCTTCCAAAAATATAATTTTAAATTTGATCAAATTTACAGCAAATAGTATTTTTAAATAGTTTTATTTAAAAAAAATTAATAATTAATCTAGTGATACTTATTAAACAACACAAACATAAAGTAGGTTTTTATATTCAAGTCAAATGTAGGAAAGTTTAATCTCTCAGAAAACGTTTTTTTGGAACATAGGGACCAAGAGCGAAGTGTACCGTTTTTTTTCTTTTTCATTATCACATAAATGGGCAACTTTCTTTTTTTATATAAGGTATATTACTGAGCAACCGATATATGTAGACAGTCTGTTGTACTTCTTGGTTGCTCTGGATGAAGTCAGTATAAAAGAATTGAGGCTCTAGCATGTTTGGCAAGGAGACTTTGTATGCCTTCCTTGGAGTGTGTTCTCTTCAGTTGTCCCTGTTCATCATCTCCAAAGAGGAAAATGTTTGCTAGGAAAATATTTTCATCGAAGTGTTTCTCTTTTTAGCAGATGAGGCCCCGTTCGCTGGTCTGAAACTGGCTGAAAAACACTGTTCTGGCTGAATTGTTGTAAGAGAAAAACACTGTTCCGGCTATAAAAACAAGCCGAACAAATCGAATATGGGGTAAGCCAAAGAAGGCCGAACTGTGTTCCAATGCAATAACGGAGGAATTGAAGGTCCGTCCATCCATGGCGACACGGCGTGGAAGATGCGCATACTGCTCCCACCAATTCAGTATTTAGAGTTCAGCCTTGTTCATTTGATCACTTTTACTATCACAACTTCACTTGCTGCTGCTAGTTGATCACGAATCCAACCCTGCCATTAAGCATGGCATTCACTTTCAACTTACAAAATCTTCAGCTCAGCTTTCAAAGAAAAAAAAAATCTTCAGTTCGCATGTTAAATTAGAGAGGGGTGATCAGATCGGTGTTACCAAAGCATCATGTTACAGAGCTAGCATTAGCTGATACCCAGTATGGTACTGCACACAGAAATATAAGGTTCTAGTTCTATCTAAGCACTGACAGCAACATTTGAAAGCATCAATATGGACATTGTTAGACCCTTCGGCTGTTGCTGCTATTGCTACCAGTCATCTCCCCTCTTCCTCTTTCCACTGAAGCTGCATCTACCGCCACTGCTGTACGACGACTACCATGCTGTGGTGGAGGCAAAGTCACAGCCACTGAGAAACAGGCTGCTGTCCTGCAGGCTGTGGTCTGTCAAAGACCGGTAAAATATGAATGAAAAATGGAATTGATTGACACTGCCACAGCTCAAAGGGCTGCTTTTAACATTCAAGATGAGCAAACCAAAAAATAAATGTGATGAAGGATAACAATCTCATGTCACCACACTATTGGGCCATAGAAAATTTCATGAAACAACTTCCTTCTTCAACCGAGATGATCTTTTCATTGAATACACAGACTGTGTCTGTTTTCAGATTTTAAGATATGTAAATAGTAAATAAATTACATGCATTTTACGATTTTAACACAGATACAATACTTTTCACAGGTGTGCCACACTTTTATATTTTTCTGTTACTACTTTTATTGTGCACATACTGAATAGAGGTGGATCTGGGCACACTAATGAAGCCATTTCTTCTCTGTAAGATAATGTATGAACACGAGGCTACCATTTGTTTCATCGACCGACTCCTGTCAACAGGTTTACAAGACAACAAGAGAAAAAAATTTGCTAGGAAAATATTTCCATCCAAGTGTGTTCTCTTTGTAGCATATGGGCAGCCATGGCCAGGAGACGTGGCTTGGGAGATGCGCACACTGCTCCCAGCAGTCAGAGTTGGATACTTACAGTTCAGTATTCAGAGTTCAGCCTTGTTCATTTGATCACTTTTGCCATCTCGACTTCACTTGCTGCTGCTACTTGATCACAAATTCAACACTGCCATTAATCATCGCTTCTTGCTTGGTATTCACTTTCAATTTACAAATCTTCAGTTCACCTTTCAAAGAAAAAAAAAATCTTCAGTTTGCATGCTAAATTAGAGGGTGATCAGGTCGGTGTTATTAAATCATCTTGTTATAGACCCAGCATGGTGATGCACACAGAGATAAGGTTCTATTAACTTCTAAGCACTGACATTGATAGACCCTTCGACTGTTGTTGCTATTGCTACGACAGTCATCTCCCCTCTTCCGCTTTTCACCAAAGCTGCATCTACCACCGCCGCTAGTATGCTGTGGACGAGACGAAGTCACAGGCACAGGATGCTGCCCTACAGGCTGTGGTCTGCCAGAGACCAAGGGAAAATAAGAACAAAAAATGGAATTAACATTGCAACAGCTCAAAGGGCTGCTCTTAAGATTCAAATGACGAAACGAAAAAAAAAAACAAATGTGATGAAGGATAACGATCTCATGTCACCACACTATTGGAACATAGAAAGTTTCATAAAACAATTTCCTTCTTCAGCAGAGATAATCTTTTCTTTTCATTGAAAATACACAGGACTGTGTCTGATTTCAGATTTAAGAAACGTAAAATAATAAATAAATCACATGCATTTTATGATTTTAACACAGAGAACAAATGAACAATATCATCCTTCTGGGCTCCTTTTTGTATTTTGCTCTTTTTTCATTATTCTTAATATAATTGCGTTGCGTCAACTCTACTTTACTGCTTGTTTGCAAAAAAAAGAAAAAGAAAAAAGCAAAAACACATTTGGGACAGTTTGAAAATAAGATGTCATCTACCTGTGAAGCATGGCCAGGATGTATCTGTATTACTGTTAGTCCACTTCCAAGTGGATTGTAAGCGCCTGTCAGTCCATTTTCAAGTGACTGTAAGCGTTTGCCAGTCATTTACAAGTTAGATTATAAGTAGGCCTTTAGTAAAAGGTAATTTTACAGTATTATCAGCAGGAGGTTTTGTATGTGAACAACCCAGAAATTGACCTGCTGGAGAAAAAGAAAGTAGGACCTCCTGCATACATGAAGAAAAATTGATTGGCTATAGAAAGATGTCAGGGAACGAAGGAAACTCGTCATCAAGATCTTAGACATGGACTGTTCCTTAAAGTAAACAAAACCGCATTCATCATCATGACCACATTTTGCAGGAGAAAGAACTTCTGTAATTTGGCAGTCAGCTTTTTAGCTGCTCTTGAGTAACAGCCTTGAGCAGGTTTTTGACATATAGATTGTAACATGAAGATAAAAATGCACATCCATATACTGATATACAATATCATGAAAGAAGAAACATAAAAGGTACCTTTCAGTCATATGATGCTAAAAAAACCTATAAAGTAAAGGCAGATTCACCACCATTCTTAGGATCTGCCTAACTGACAGCAGGAGCACTTATATATTTATTTTGAATTCTGGAGTAGACATCTTTTGCTTAGCATACTCTACACATGCCTGCCTGTAGTATTCGATAAATCCATAACCCTTCTTGCCATCTGAAATTGGTGCCATTCAGATTAAACCAACTGTAATGATGCCCACTAAAAATGTTGAACAATCTACTATTTTATCCATACCTTCTAGAGACTTTCAAAATCCTGAGTCAATTTCTTCCACTGCATTTTTTAAATCACCCAGTGTCCAAATCATAGTGTACATTCGCAATAATAGTGTGTCCTTAGCCTAGGAGGAAGAAGCTCTTATCTTCTTTCCCTGTTACAAGAACAATAATAATAGGGTCCAGTTAGTATCTAATGGGAAATGCTTCAAGCTTGTGCAACCACTCGAGTACAACTCAATTACAACGCAACCACTTGGTCATCATGCAGGGAATTCTCTTGCTAATTACACATTGTTCCTCTTGCAGTGGATACTTAATAAGTACAGAGACATCTCCCCCAACTAACCTAGCTAATCCATTTCAATCCAATGGAAGAATTAAAATGTTACATGTTACAACCCGAATAAAGCAAGAAAATTAGAGGTGTGCTGACTGCATAAGGAAGGGGGGAAAGTTCTAACAGCATTTCCAAAGAACTGCAGAGATACACTATACGCATAGTTGCACTTATGGTCAACACAGCATAAAAAAGGCGGATACTATGAGATGAAAAATTAAATCAAGGAGTGTCTTGTAGAAATATGTATAGGACTGTTGCTTTTAGCATTGCTTGTGTTAGGTAAAAAAACATAGCAAACATCTTACACTGCTAACTGGAGGAGGGGGTGTACACATGCTTAAATTATAGGAATCTGGAAGGGCAGGGTTTCTTCACAAATTATGCAATAAATGTAGCTGATTACGGCTGTCAAGCTAACAAGGACTGCACACACGATTATTTTACCTGTTGACAAACTTGACGCTGAAGTGCACTAACAAGAGACCATTTCTCTACAAGAACAAGAATACCATAAAGCATGCCCAAGAAAGTTAGAGCACAAGAGAGAATACTCACTCCAACAAATTTACATGTCACATAAAGATGTCAGCACCGATGAAAGCTGAACTCATTTTTTCTTCAACACTCATTTGTTGGCTTCATTGAAGAAACGATACTTTTGAGGCAGGGACTTTGCATGGTGTTGATAATCCTCCCTCGAAAAAATTGATATAAGCATGGAAGTAGTGGAAGCCTCAAGTGAGAAGTTCTTCTCATCAAGTTTGGAGAGGTAAGCCCCAGCCCTGCTTATGTCACCTCTACGCAACAACCTCCTAGCTAGAGCATTTAACATTCGTGAGTTCGGAGCAATACCACTCTTTTCCATTGCTGAAAACAGACCATCAAACTCCTCTAGCGACCCTTCTTCTATGAGATTTTCTGCTATTAAGCAGTAGGTCACAACATCTGGAACCAAACCATTAGCAGGAATAGCAGCAAACAAATGCATGGCATCTTCCTTTCTGCCGCCTTTGAACAAAGCATCAATCATGATGTTGAAAGTAATAATGTCAAGTTGAAGATCCTTAGAACTACAATCAGCACACAGTGCTAGCAGGATATTTGGGAAAATAAAGCTCCAAGCAGTAGTTATTAGTGGGGAAAAAAAGGCACTGCTAACAACAAATATTCAGGGGTGGCGGGGGATACTGCAAACTGTGGGGAAAAACACAAAGCATAGTGTATAGAAATCACCTTAAGGATTAAGAAGTCCAGATGATTGTACTCCCAGCTGTGAAGAATTTCTTACAAACTAAGCAACAAAAGGCAGAAACTCATGTGCTCCCAATAGTTTGAAAATTGATTCCCACTGTAAAGATAACTGGGACTGAAGACAATATAACTTTATCAGGTGATAAATAGGATGCTGACACGCACTAGCAGTACAGCATTTCCCTAAAGAATTTCATCAAACAAATAGAGCATGAGATAGACATACCACTCAGCTGAGAATTTATTCCGTTTGACATAATGCTCACTTGTTGACCTCCTCAAGAAAATGGTACTTTTCAGGTAGGGACTTTGCAAGGTTCTTATATTCCTCCCTCGAGAAAAGTGATATTAGCAAGGATGTAGTGGAAGCCTCAAGTGAGAAGTTCATTTCATCAATTTTGGAGAGGTAAGCCCCAGCCCTCACTATCTCGCCTCCACGCAACAGCCTCCTAACTATAGCATTTAGCATGTATGAGTTTGGAGTGCATCCACTCTTTTCCATTGATAAAAACAGATTGTCAAACTCATCAAGCAGCCCCTCTTGTATGAGATTTTCCATCATTAACCGATAGGTCACCACATTCGGAACTAAACCATGGGCAGGGATAGCAGCGAACAAATCCATGGCATCTTTCTTTCTGCCGCCTTTGAACAAAGCATCAATCATAATGGTGAAAGTAATAATGTTAGGATGAAGATCCTTAGAACACAGGCTCTGGAATATTTCAAATGCTTCATCAACACAATTATTTTTGCAAAGCCCATTTAGAATTATGTTGTATGTGCGAATGGACCACTGTTTTCCACTTTTCATCATATTGAGGTACAATTCCTTTGCTTCAGAAAATCTTCTAGTCTGAAACAAACCATGCAGTATAGTATTGTAAGTCACCACTCCAGGCGTAACTCCCTTCCTCAACATTTCTCGGAAAAGACAATATGCATTGTCTATCCTGCCAGCTTTACAATAGCCATGAAGCAATGTATCATAAGAAAAAATATCAGGTTTCAAGCCAACTGAGGCCATACTATCAAGTAGCTGTGACGCTTCATCAATTCTATTGGCTAAACAGTGGCCATCTATTAATGTGTTGTATGAGATAACATCAGGCTTCACACCCATGCATACCATCGAGTCAATGAGCCTCCGGGCTTCCATAACCCGTCCTTCTCTGCATAAGTTACACAATATTGTGTTGAAGAAAACGATGTTAGGGCGAATCCCTTGATTCAACATTTTGAAAGATAATTCCTCAACCTTCTCCCATTTGTCAACAGTGCAAAGTCCATAAACAAGAGAGTTAAAAACTACAATGTTAGGAGTCACTCCTTCATTGATCATCTGATTGAATTGGAGCACAGCATCATCCACTCTTCTCAACTTGCAAAGTGCATCTATTAATGTTGCATAACTAACAACATTTGGACTCAAACCTTGCAGCTTCATTTTGATAAATATAAGCATTTATCATTGCCTTTTTAGCATATGCACAGATCACAATGTTGAAGATGTGATGATCAAGTGAAATACCATTTGCTACCATCAAATTTAGGATATCATGCATCTCAGAAAGAGCTCCTTTCTTACTATATCCATGAAGCATAATGCTATAGGTAGTTACACTAGGTTTTATGCCCTTCCTAATCATAGAATCAAAAAAAAAAAATCGAGCTTCACTGCACTTTCCATTCTTGCATAGATAGTCCAGAAGCAAACCATATGTAGAACTATCTGGCTCAAGACCATGTGCAGGCATTTCTTTAAACCTTCGAACCACCTCTTCCCACTGTCCTATAGAGAGGTATCCATGGATGAGACAATTATATGTCACATGGTTTGGCTTCACACCTCTATCAATCATCTGCTGAAAGACATCCTCGGCCCTATCGACCGCATGAGCTTTGCACAGGCCATCAATGATTGTACTGTATGTCGCAACATTTGGGGAAACACTCATTTCAAGGAACAGGCTGTAAGCTTTATCCACCTGACCCTCACTAAAGAAACCTTTGATGACGGTATTGTATGACACCACATCTGGTGGGCAGCTACTACCTTGACCATCAGATATCACGTGGAGCAGCTCAAGTGCCTCCTCAGCTCTCTTTTCATCACAGAAATCCTTGAGAAGTGTGTTGTATGAAACTACACTGGGCGTGCATCCAACTTTGGGCATTCGTCGGAGCAATATGTCCATGGCCTCACCCACCCTCTTGGCGTCACAGAGGCCCTTGAGCAGTTGATTGATGACTATAGGTGCTTCAGGCGAAGCCATGCTCCAGCCCGTCTTAAGGATGAGGCCAAAGACGGTGAAGCCATGCTCCAGGCGGCCCATGCGGCAGAAGCTGCCAATGAGGATGCTGTAGGAGAAACGGTCGGGAGCCGCCTTGTTGGAGCAGCCACTGAGCATTCGGTTGAATCGGGAGACAACGAGCTTGGATGACAACGAGCATTTCGCGCGAGACACAATGCTAAGCAACTGGTTCAAGGCACGAACCGAGGCAGGCCTGGCGTGGATGAGCAATTCGTCGAACAGCTTGAGCGCGTCGTCGAGGCCGAGGTTCCCCGACCTTGCGCGGCCTATCGCGGCGCGCTCCAGCTCCAAGCACCGGTGGTGGGCGCCGCTCAAGCGGCGGGACATGCCGACGGGGCAAGGCTAATCTGGCCGGCGAGGAGAGGCGCGGACGCCGCCGCGTCAGCCTCCGGATCGGTGAAGCAGAGCAGGCGAGCAGCTCGCGTAACGGCGTGAGCTGGGCGGAGCCGCGAGTGCTGTGCCGTGGAGTGGTTGACACAGTGAGGGCAGGTGCTGGAACGTCGGGTGGCGGCGGCGACGGCGTGGCCCGGTGGGCGCGTCAGCCTCCGGATCGGTCAAGCAGAGCAGCTCGCGTGAGCTAGGTGCAGCCGCGAGCTGGAAAGCTGGATGGACTATTTTTTTTTCCCTAATAATTCCCCATGACATTCGCATCGCGGGATGTGGGGTCATCCATGGCATCTTCGTGAACTCGAGTTTCAACTATTCAAACAGATTTCACTTCATTGATTTGAACTCGAGTTGGCAGTTTTTACTGAAAGGAGCCTAACCAGAAAAAAATTGTTGTCCCGTGTCGCATCGCGTATTATTCTACTGGATTTCATGATTTTTTGGACTTTAATTTATATTTTGCATAGAGACTTGAGTCATTTCCCTTTTTTTCTTTCATAGATTTAAAAAAAGAGAGGAAATAATATGTTAAAGTTACCTGATAGTCAGACCCATCGGTTAATGAAAAGGTAGAAACATCTAAATGCGAGATTTTGTTTTGCAAGAGCCTAGCAATGTGATGACTGATAAATTGAACAATCCCATGCACCTACTGCAAATTTGCTCATCTGTCAGAAGAAAACTAACAGAGAAATAACTGATTTGATGGTTGATCACTTGCATGATCCCATTTTCAGGTGTTCTCAGTCAGAGGACGAAATTCACACAAGGAATAACTGTGTCCGGAACAGGATTTGCTTCCAGTGCTAGCTGCCGCCACAGACTGAATCATCAATTTGTTTCCTCTACTTTATTTCGAGTGACAAATCTTAATCACCATCTCATTTGACAGGATCATAGAATCATGGTAGGAACAGTGTTACAAATGTGGATGGGTTAAGCCTCCTGCAACGAAGTTATGTGCCCTTGCTCTATGCTCTTTAACACGTGCTACTTTGTTTGGTGAACAGGCTCCAACACTGGGAACAGCTTCTCTAGTTTCGCATTTGAGAGAACCTTGTGGGGATCCAGCTCCATACGTGCCTTGTTATATGCATCCACAGGGAAACGCTTCCTCAGCCGGGCCTGGACTTCAGCAAGTTCGTCCTTGTCCTTTGGAACCTAGGAAGAATGGAGACAGAATAATAACCAGCCATGAATTTTATTTGCAAATAAATAACTCAACCAGGTATCCGTGCAAGTGAAGAGGTCATACTTTTGAAATTAACCAGACTGATGCTATTTTCACTTGTGAAGCCTAGGAAACAGGAATAACACAAACAAAGTCTGAATAAATCTTGAAACTAGTAGTAAAAATTAGTACCTCAATTTTGGCCCAGTGTTCATAGGCAGAATAATCATCCCAGAGACTTTGTGCCAGGCTCCTGTAATTGAAGAACAACTCTGTAATTTCCTTCCTTTGGCGAGCATCTGATGTTGGCAAGTACATTATAATACCAACCTGCATGGATCCTAAGTTGGTCACCGAGATTATACATAACTGGTGTAAAATAGAACCAGGTTTTGCAAGACAGGCATTGCATATGATTTGTTAGAAGACGCAGGAGGTGAGCTTTCTCAAGCAGTTAAGAGTTGTAACATGCAACTGTTTCAGAATATATGTGATTGTCTCAGAAACATGAGAAATATAACAGCTACATACAGCAGAACAATTTGGTACTATCATCTAAACTGAAGAAGGGATTTCCCATTGTATTTGTCAGAGTAGAGGAAGCAAGTAAGCAAGTTATGCTACTATATTTAGCAGAAACTATCAGAAGAGAGTAGAGGACACAATCGAATTGCAAAATATCACTTTTTTCCCACCAGGCGAACCGAATTTAATTACTAAATTATAAGCAAAGAAATCAATACAAACAAATTAGTATGAGTTGCAAAAGAGCTTTTAGGTAGGTGATTACATGTGGCAATAGCAGCACAGATTAAACATACAGAAAACAAAAAGAACTATTGGACAAGAACAAATTAATTACCCATGAAAATATGTCTTCTTCTTCAGAGCTTGATGCTGGGCTCATTGGGCTCTTGCTGCGGGCAGTCCAACGCTGCTCAATAGGTCCAGGTGCGGGTATCTCTTCCTTTTCAATCAACCGCAGCAGCTTATCTATATAATCAAGATCCTTCATACTTGGCTTTGCTAGGGTTCCAGTGGGGAAGCAGTTTTCAGAAACCCACTGCTGCCCACCACAATCAAAGCCCAGTATTTCATCACTCCAGCCCATGCGATACCCTTCTGACTTCTTCCAATACTCAGCTTCCGCTTTATTGATTTTCATCACATGATCTTTATCCAGAGGATCAAGAGCAAGCAGCTTGTCCCTCAGCTCAGTAAATGAAAGTGTATCTATTTCTGGGTCATTACTTTCTGCTTCCGTTCTGAAAAGCATCTATAAGGTGGCATGAGTGAAAAAAACAAACAAATATATTGCTGAATACAGCTACAAAATTCCGCAGAAAACTAAATAATTTCATAATTTACTTCATTTGAGTAGAATGGCAACAACATTTGAGTATCCCAGTTGACTGTATAAACCAATATATCTGATTTTCGGTGCATATCGATTTAAAGTACAGGAACTGAATGCTCAAAGGTTCTATGTCTGTATACTAATTAACTAGCTAGAAGCCACAAAAGCCCAACTTACACTTCTTGCGTCACCTTTTTTTTAGTGAAAGGGCAAGGAAAACACCCCTTCCTACTTTCTGAGAGCAATAGAGATTGCGTGGAATAGTGGATTGATTAGGGTATACAAGGTATACAAATATATAGGCAGCCCTTGGGAGAGGTTTATAGAAACAGAACCAATCAAGGGATAACCTGCCTATCCTAATCTATCTAGGCACAGCAGGAAGCCGGCCTGGGCCTGGCGCACAGCCACAGGAGGCCCATACACACGCACACAGCACATACATATCTAACACTCCCCCGCAGTCTGATCGTCGGCAGCCTGAACATTCAGACTGGACCTGAACTCCGTGAACACCGAAGAAGGCAGGCCTTTGGTGAAGATGTCGGCGTACTGAGAGCTCGTCGGAACGTGAAGAACACGGACATCACCGGTAGCAACGCGCTCACGAACAAAGTGTAGATCAATCTCCACGTGTTTGGTGCGTTGATGCTGAACGGGGTTCGAAGACATGTAAACAATGCTGATGTTATCACAGTAAACAAGGGCGGTGCGACGCAGAGGAACGTGCAGCTCAACAAGGAGTTGGCGCAACTAAGAGACCTCGGCAACGGCATTGGCAACCGCCCGATACTCGGCCTCGGCACTCGAGCGAGAGACTGCATTCTGACGCTTGGATGACCAGGAGACCAAGTTATCGCCCAAGAAGACCGCATACCCGGAAGTGGACTTTCGGGTGTCTGGGCAGCCAACCCAATCAGCGTCGGAGTAGACCAGCAAATCCGACTGAGTAGAGGGCCGTAGAAGCAAACCCAAGTGAAGAGTGCCACGAATATACCGCAGAATGCGCTTCAAAGCAGCAAGATGCGGCTCTCGAGGATTATGCATGTGGAGACAGACCTGCTGAACAGCATAGGCAATATCTAGGCGAGTGAAGGTGAGATACTGGAGAGCACCAGTGAGGCTTCGAAAATCAGTCCCATTGACAAGGGGAGCAGAGAGCAATAGAGATTGCGTGGAATAGTGGATTGATTAGGGTATACAAGGTATACAAATATATAGGCAGCCCTTGGGAGAGGTTTATAGAAACAGAACCAATCAAGGGATAACCTGCCTATCCTAATCTATCTAGGCACAACAAGAAGCTGGCCTGGGCCTGGCGCACAGCCACAGAAGGCCCATACACACGCACACAGCACATACATATCTAACACTTTCAAATATAGAAATCTATCAAAAGTTTTACACAGAAATAAAAATCTTCCTCTGAGACTAATTAAGGAAAGAAAACGCCTAAGGACAGGACAAAACTAGCTGGTGCACCCACAAACTACCATCTTTTCAGCTGACAATTCCTATCAGGTGCTACTGCACATATTATTATCAGCATACACATAACATGATAACAATACTTATTGTATCACTCATGTGATAAATACAACTCTTCCAACTGGAATCACCACTTATTTCTAAGCAAGAGAATATTGAGCTGATTCTTCGGTAAGAGAATAGAAAGTAAAGATGCATTTGCATACAGAACACCATAATAACATTAGAATTTATTTGAAGGGTATCAAACTGTAACAAGTGTACGTACCTATATTTTTTCAGTGACTCACAATAAAGGTCCCGAACATGCTGTAAAGCTTCGTCCTTTCCATATTTTGATCCCAACTTTGGGGTTCTCCACTTTGAGGGAGGATTGCATTGGACAACAACAACCGTGTCAGTATATGGAATCCACAAGTACTTAATATGTTTGTTTTCAGAGAGCCACTTCCTGAAAATTGGGAGAAAGGAACAAATCTGAGGATGTTACAACGACATAGGCAAACCAAATATACAGCTACATAAAGATTGGCACCACGAAACATTACTTGTGGTTTTTCTTGACTTCATCTGCATTGGAAACAAATGTATATTCCACAAGCTGGTGTCTTTCTACGCATTGAAGGGTAACTTCTGCGACAACACCTAGGCCACCAAGTCCACAGCGAGCAAGATAAAACAACTCAGGATCCTTCTCCCTCGATAACTCTATTGCCCCTTTGAAAGGGGTAACCAGTTTCATGCTAATGACTTGCTCGTCAACTGGAGGTAATGTTGCACCAGTGCCATGGGCACCAACCTGCGGTCCAATCATGAATATAAGTACAGAACCATCAACTAATTAGGCCTGAACTCAGTACGCAAGTTGCAATTGTGCACTTTGTAAAGGAATACTAGGGCCAGCTACGATTGGAGCTCTCAGGCATTAGATGAGAAGAACTTTCTCGGTATAGGAAATGGTAGGAAAGAATCCTATGAAACTACTGGTAAAATGAATATCAGCTTCTGAAACACTAATTTCTATCCCCTGAAGAGGCTATGTGATTATACTTTTGTACTTTGTTGACAAGTGATTCTAGGCAATCTCGAACATTTCACTGAAACTGTTAAAACAATATCAAACATATCTGTGCTAAAGTGTCAAGTCAGTTCATTATATTCTCCATTTGTTTCCGTTCCTATAATCAATGACACAAAGAGAAACAGCTCCTTATAACTTGGAAGCAAGAAGGTTGATGTTTTTTTTTACCCCTCAACAGACCTGAGTGAACCCTCCGACCTGCTGCTCCCGAATGGACGCAAAGTTCTGCAGCGTGAGGCCATGTTCCCGGAGAGCGTCGACGAGCTCCGCGACACGTATCCCAGCCTGCACCGTGACGGTCTTCTTCTTGGCGTCGACGTCGAGCACCTTGTCCATAAGGGCGAGGTTGACCATCCCGGCGCGGGAGAGCGCGATCCCATTGGGGGACAGGCCGGAGCCGAGGGGCCTGAGCTTGCGGCGCTCCTTGTGCGCGGCGGCGAGCGCGCCCTCGAGGGCCGGGAGCGAGTCCGGCTGGAGCAGGACGCGGGCGTGGACCTCGTGGGTGCCGCTCCAGTTGGAGACGGCGTGGAGGTCCTCCGGCAGCGGCGCATACCGGAACGGCACGGCCTTCTTGTGCAGCGCGTCGACGGGGAGCGGGAAGGAGTAGTAGGTCGCGGCGCCGCAGCCGAGGAGAAGCAGCGCGTAGCCCGCGTACTTGCGGAGCTCGGCGTCGGAGGAGACCGGGGAGGGGGCGGAGGAGAGGGCGCGGAGGAGGGGGAGGTGGTGGTGGTCGGCGGTGGGGATGCCGCCGCGGCGGCGGAGGAGGAAGCGGGAGAGGAGGACGTGCCGCATCGTGGCGTTCGGCGGCGCGGCGATTGGGGGGTGGAGGCGGCGGCGGTGACGTGGTGGAGGCAATGGTGGGCGGTGGAGGGTGGACGGCGCCGGCAGCGGCCACCGCAGCAGATCGCGATGGGCGCTTAGGACTTAGGAGTAGGGGTTACCAGCATTGGGCTCCTGTGGAAATGATTAGTTGCGATTGATGGGCTTTTGGGCCCTGCGACCCCAACGTACGCACGCGGCCCGATTCTAATCAACCAGCCCACGGAGCTAGAGAAAGGGGCGGCCTTGTTTTTGTTTGTATTGTCCCTTATTGAAACATGGGCCAATTTAAAGGCTAATCTGACGTCCGAGTGATATGAGTGCGGCAAGCACCCTTGGCATCACATTACGAGTATATATGGTTCCTTGGAAAGGAGTCTAAAGTGTGTGAACCTCTTCCCGCCTTCTTCCTAGGGCAAGCTCTCGCACATGTTATATGTGCCGGGCTTTTTTCCCCCCTACTATGAACATTTTCACTATATGAATTCTCACTTTAGTTAAGTTTCGAAATCAAATATTTACCATTTTTTTTACATTTCATTTATTCTGCTATGCAAGCATGAGAAGGAGCATTTTCACTATATAAATTCTCACTTTAATTAAGTTTCAAAATCAAATATTTACCATTTTTTACCTTTCATCTATGCAACTATGCAAGCACGATAAGGATTTTCTTTTCCACGGGCCTTTCTTACTCACTAGGAACATTTTCACTATATGAATTCTCACTTTAGTTAAGTTTAGAAATCAAATATTTACCATTTTTTTACATTTCATTTATGCTACTATGCAAGCATGAGAAGGAGCATTCTCACTATATAAATTCTCACTTTAACTAAGTTTCGAAATCAAATATTTACCATTTTTTACCTTTCATCTATGCAACTATGCAAGCACGATAAGGATTTTCTTTTCCACGGGCCTTTCTTACTCCACCTATCTCTCACTGTATCTATGGGTGCCATTTCACAATATGAACTCGCACTTTAACTAAGTTCATAAATCAAATATTTACCATCCTTTCTTTATACTTCATTCATGCAAATATGCAGGTATGACTTTTTCACTAACCTTTCTTACTCGGTTATTCCATCTATCGCTCAATGCATTCCTCGGATGCCCATTTGACAATTCTCGCTTTAGTTAAGTTTAGAAATCAAATATTTTTCTATCCTTTTCTATACTTCATTCATATAACTATGCATGCACGAGTAGGATTTTCCTTTTCTTGACCTTTCTGACTCTATCTATCCCAAAAATGCTTGCTTTTATGACTAAATTATTCTTTCAATGATATGTAAACTATGCACATATATAAGCAAAATGCACCTATAATAAGGCCGCTTCATCAATCTCAAGATCCCTTGGATTTGTCGTATGTTCATGCCACCGTATGAGTGTGTGCATATAAGTTTCTTTTTATGTACTATATTTCCAAAAAAAAGAACGTTTTTGTGTTCGTTAGTGCAGTCTTAGTGGAGCTTTCATGTCCCTATTTCCAAAAACTCTTAGGTGTTGAAAATAGCGTAAACAAGTTCAGAAATGCTATACAACACACATGTGTTTTAGCGCAAAAAAACACATGGATTTTTTCTCTCTTCTTCCCTCCGTTCTACTTACGCCGCGCAACGCACGCACGCGTCCTCTGATCCCGCCCGCGCCGTCGCTATGTCCAAGCGAAGCGACGTGTTCTCTGACGCATGCACGCACGCGTTCTCTGATGCCGCGCAACGTGCAGCTCGGTCTGTAGCGGATCCGGCTCCAGTAGCCTCTCCTCCTCCTCTGCTGTGATTTGTCCTTTCATAGAAAAAAAATTGTTTCTTGTGATATGTGGATCTGTGATATTGTGATTTGTGATTGTCTGGAGATAGAAGAATGCTGAAGGCTGGAGGTAGAAGGAGGGTGGAGGCTGTTGGATCTTAATTCTATGGTGCAAAAAAATTCATGTGTTGAAACTGCATAAAACACATGGTTGTTGGGTAGATAGACTCGTTTTATTCCCATAAAACTTTTATCACCTTTCGGTCTTCATTTAAACTATATCATGTCAGCTTATCTATGTCCATGAAACTCCCATTGAGCTTAGTCTTAGGGTTAGAGAGTGATATAAACAAATAAATTATATTTTCCAACGCCGTGGCAAGTTATAGGCATAGACTTATTAACGAGTAGTACTCCCTCCATTCATGAATAAATCAATTCCTAGAGTTGTCTTAAGTTAAACTATTTTAAATTTGACCGAATTTATTGAAAAGAGCGTCAAAGTTTATGACTAGGGATGAAAACGGATCGGATACGAATGGATATGATTGATATTACATTTGTTTTCATATTTTTGTCCGAATTTAGATTCGAATATGGATAATGTCAACCATGCCGGATAGGATACGATTGGATATCGATATCATAAATATGCGATTTGAGTATTCAGATACGGATACGGTATCGGATGTTGAATATCCGGACTCGGATATGGACAGATTTAAACCCCTCTAAACGGATTCGGTTTCGGATACGGTCGGAAAATATCCAAAACATTTTCACCCATATTTATGACACCATATTAGAATCATTAGATACATCATAAACTATATTTTCATAATGTGTCAATTTGGTGTCACAAATATTTGTACTTCTTTCTATAAATTCGTTTAAATACTATAAAAAATTGACTTAAGACAACTATAGAAATTGATTTACTCAGGGACAGAAGGAGTAGTATATAAGAAACGGCAAAAAAAACTTGAAGAAAGATTTTTGCCTTAGCAAATGGATATACATAAATAGACCCTGACAAAGAAAAAAATTCGAGTTCCTGGCTCGATCCGACACTGCTATCAAATCAGTGACAAACAACGCCGGTGCAATGCCTCCGTCCTTTGTCACACAGACACTACCTAGGCAAGCTCAAGAATTTTCCACATGGTTTATGTGTGTTGCCACAAAATATCATCACCATAATTATTCTACACATAAGTGCATGTTGGGAGAGTCGAAGATTCCCACAAAAACACTCTGGTAGGGACACAGGGTAGTAACACAGGAACTCAAGAAGATTGCTCCAGACGCGGAGTGACGATGGCCATAACACAGGGTAGGGACACGGAGGATCTGGACAAGTAGGGGCAAAAACACGGCACTTGCAATGGCGATGCGCGTTAATGAACGTGTAAACAATGGGGTCGTCGAGCGAGTCCAGACAAAGCGACAAACGCCACTGCAAGTGAGCTCCCACTCCCGAGTCCTGACTCCCCCAGCTCCAGTCCCCCGAGAGTCCGAGACTCTTGCTCTGCTTGACCTGACTGTTGCAACACTTTCTGAGAATCCACGCGCGCGGGCGACGCGATTCCGACGCGCTCGATGAATTTCCGATCCACGCGGTGTTTCGTCTTTATAAATCACCACCACCTGCCGGCTGAATGAGCAGACTGTCCCGCAAGTGAATCCCCCCAAGAGAGAGGCAATGGTGGTTGACGTTGACCCCGAGCGCCACCAGCCAGCAGCTCCAGCGCCGGCGGCGGCCATTCCGCCCACCAGAACCAGAACCAACAACTTGGCGTCGGCGGTCAAGGAGGCCAACTTCCTCTGGGAGCTGCGCAAGTACGTGCTGCTGCAGGCGACGCTCGCGGCAAGCATCACATACTCGGCGGGGATGAGCCCGCCAGGCGGGTTCTGGGCCGACAACGACAGCAGCGGCGGCCGCCTCGCCGGCGACCCCGTGCTGCAGGTCACCTACCCGCGCCGCTACGCCGTCTTCTTCTACTTCAACGCCACCGCCTTCGTCGCCTCCGTCGTCACCGTGAACCTCCTCCTCGTGCACTTGCTGAGCCGCCGCCGCTGGTGGCTCCGCGCGCTCCAGGCCGCCATGATCCTCAACCAGCTCGGCCTCATGGGGGCCTACGCCGCCGGCAGCTGCAGGGAGGTGGCCATGTCCGCGTACGTCCTCGCCCTCGTCGGCATGGTCTCCTCCTACGTCTGCGCCCACGTCCTGTGCTTCGCGCTGTGGGCACTGAGGGCGCGCCGTGGCGGCGGCGGCGGCGGCGGTGGCAAGGCCGCGGCGCCCGAAGCGGCAGAGGCCGTGGAGCGCGCGCGCAAGGACCTGCTCATCTTCGCGACCTTGGTGGCGACGGTGACGTACGGGGCCGGGCTGAGCACGCCGGGCGGGTTCCTGTCGTCGGACAGCCCCGACGAAGACCACCTCGCCGGGGACCCCATGCTCCGCGGCCACCGCTTCATGGCCTTCTTCTACCTCAACACCACGGCGTTCGTCGCGTCTCTGGTCATCATCATGCTGCTCATGAGCAGGACAGTGACGCGCCATGGCTTCCGGTCGTGCGCTCTCTGGGTGTGCACGGGCGCCGCCCTGGTCGGGCTCACCGGCGCCTTCGCCATTGGGAGCAGCCGGAGCGTCAAGACTTCCATCTACGTCGTCGCGTTGGTGGCAGCGGTTCTGCTCTACATCGGCCTTCAGATTCTGGTGTTCCTGTGCAAGCCTGTGGAGAATTGGCTCGGCGATGTTCAAGGAACACTGCAAAGATTCCTGAAACTGGACCAATTTCCACCGCAAGGTGATGCTGATGAGCAGGCTCAGGGATTATCTGACCAGCAAGGAAATCTTGACGCCGATCAGCTTCTGAAGAAGTCCCGGATGTATCTCCTCCTGCTGGGAATTCTTGCTGCCAGTGTCACATACCAAGCGGGACTGGACCCGCCTGGCGGCTTCTGGCAGAGCAATGCCACTGATGGTCTGCATCACTACCTCGCCGGCGATCCGATCCTTCACATCACCTATCCCCGGAGATACCTGGCTTTCTTCTACTGCAACGCGACAGCTTTCGTCGCATCGCTGGTTATCCTGATCCTCCTCCTAAGCAGCACATTCAGCACCCAAGGAATCAAGTACTATGCACTGCAGGTCGCCATGATCCTGGACCTTCTTGGGCTGATTGGCGCCTATGCTACCGGAAGTTGCAGGCAAGTGTCCAAATCCATGTACATCTCGGTGATTGTGGTTCCTGTGTTCCTCTATGTCGGCATCCATGTTCTGGTATTCATGCTTGAAGTCTTCCCAAATCATGCCACATGGAGGGAAATGGTGAAGCACAAACTGGAGGAGTCCGTACCCGAATGGCTCAAGAAGTTGTTTGAGCCACAGACTGAGGAGGAAGATGAGGAAATGAAATGGAAATTGGAGAAGAGCCGCAAACTTCTGCTGCTCCTTGCCATTCTTGCAGCAGGCCTCACATACCAGGCCGGCATGAGTCCCCCGGGCGGCTTCTGGCAACAGAACAAGACAGGCCATATTGTTGGCAACCCAGTGATCAATGACAACTACCGACGTCGTTACCTGGCTTTCTTTTACTGCAATGCAACTGCCTTCGTTGCATCTCTGGCCATCATCATGCTGCTGATTAACAGAAAGCTTTCGACGAGGGGGATACAGTCCAATGCACTCAGGGTGTGCGTGATCCTTGATCTGGTCGGGCTCATGGGTGCGTTTGCTGCAGGGAGCTCCAGGAAGGTATCAACATCCATATATGTCTTCATCCTGATCTTTGCAGTTCTAATATGCATCATGCTCCAAGTTATTCTGGCTGTGTCCAAGTCGGTTCAGGGTCTCTTGCAGAGACTCCTGTCCTTCTTCGATGTAATGGAGGACGAAGCTGGTGACACATTGCCGCATACAGCTGATAATGCAGAGGCACGAGATCCCTGGTTTGATAAGTTGCCCAAATACTTGTTGCTGTTGGCTGCACTTGCAGCGGCTGTCACTTACCAAGCCGCCATGAGCCCGCCCGGTGGGCTCTGGGGCGATGGCCAAGCTGGCCAGATAGCTGGTGATCCGGTTCTTCGGAGCACCTATCCACGCCGGTACAAGGCCTTCTTCTACTGCAACGCGACTTCCTTCATGGCCTCTCTGGTGATTATGGTTTTGCTCCTGATCAAAAGAGTGAGCAGCGCACAGTCGGCGATCTTGGCACTGCATGCTGCCATGATCCTGGACTTGTTTGGCCTCATGGGTGCCTATGCTGCCGGGAGTTGCAGGAGAGTCAGGACAAGTGCTTACATCTTGGCATTGGTGGTTGGGGTTTCCACATACATAGTTGTTCTTGTTGTTGTGTCCATAGGTATCGCAAAATGGATGAAAAGAGTCATGTATGGGATGAGAGAACAGCTGATCCGGTGCTTCTCTGTAGAAGATTTGTAGAACCTGATGCCAAGAGCATAGAAGGGGAAGTCACAGGTGTGAAGGTTGTAGCCTTGTAATTACTATCTCTGTAAATGTATCCCTTTTGAACATTAGGCAGGCATCCAAATCTAGCATATTGTCTTTTAGAGCCATTGCTGTAATTTGACTAATTCATTGCGGCATTTCTTGACAACTCCTTTATTGCTGGCGCCTGAAAACTCGATTCTGTCCAGCAGACCATATTCCTTGGAACTTTGAATAAGAAAACAAGAAGGTTGACACTTCTTTGCAACAGACCTGAATCAATGAAAGCATTTGATCAATAACAGAATTTGTGGGATCTAAGTTGCTTGAAGGTTCTATATTAGTATACTAATTAAATTAACTAAGTAGCAGCCACAAAAGCCCCAAATTACAATTCATTACCGAATTTACCGTTTTGTCTAGTGAAAGGGCAAGGAAAACATCCTTTCCTAATTTCAATAACAGAAACTCGTAAAACATCCATCAAAAGTCTTACATAGAAATAAAAATCTTCCTCTGAGAGTAGTTAAATTTTAAGCAAGTAAAGTCCTAAGAGAAGAACAAACTAGCAGGTGCACCCACAAACTACCATCTTTTCAGCTGATAATGGCTAGCAGATGCTACTGCACATGTTACTATCAGCATACACGTATGACAATACTAAGGTGCTGTTTGGTTAGCAAGTGTAAACGTAAATGTTAATGGAATGGAATGACGCTGGAAACGTAAACAATGAATCAGATCCCCGTCTTTGTTTGGATTTGGACCGTAACGGTATCAGTTGAGTGCGCAGGCTGCAGTCCAGATGATTGACAAGCGTTGGCCCATGAACACTGAAGAACGCACGCGACGGAGCACAATCCCCATCGACAAACTCGGTGATGAAGTTGCTTCCCCAGCGACGAGCAGCGTGGGCAGGTCCACCACGTCGCCGGCTGCCGCCTCCTTATTGACGGCCTCCTCATGCATGGTGATCCACAACTTCTGCATCTGTTTGGTGCACATCTTGGGGGAGGGGATGATGTACTTCTGAAAGACGTCACACTCGTGGCAGGCACCCACAGCGCGTTGCTCTGGCGCTGCAGCTCCAAATTTTCGCCATAGTGTAGCGGTTCTTCATCGTTTCAACCACGGCCGCAGGAACAATGGCGGCAGCTTGGGCATGAGCTTGTCCCTAGCGGGATGGGGAGGACAAATCGAGGGGAGCGACGCGAGGAAGGAGCTGATATGGATGTTGAATCGCTTTGTCGACCATGGCTGCATCTACGGAGGCGCGAGGAAGAAGAATCGCTCGAGGCCGCTAAGCGGCGGCGGCGGCGGCGGCGGTATCACAAATAACGCTTGGGGAAGGCCGGGAACGGGAGTGAATAAGCCGTCATTGGATTACACGGTACCTGATACGGCGACGACATCAACCAAACAACAGTATTGATATCTATTACCTTCTGTAATCCAATTGCGTTACATTTGGTTGAACCAAACAGGTCGTAATTGTATCACTCAGAGATAAATACAACTCTCTCAACTGGAACCGCCTCTTATTTCTGCATTAGGTTCAATAAATGGAAGAACATCTAGGGAAGGAGTGGACCTGACTCAGACTGAAATGGTGTAGGGACAAACTTAATCCAAAATGAGCAGTTTCAAGAATACAGTTGTTTTCGTAATATCAGTTCAATTTCTAAGCATGAGGAAATTTCGGAGATTATCAAGTAAGAGAACAGAAAGTAAAGACAGATTTGCATTGAGAAGACCATAGTAAGCATTCGAATTTGGGGGGCATCATCAAACCATAAAAAGTGTGCTTACCTACATTTTTCAGTGACTCACAATAAAGGTCCCAAACATGCTTTAAAGCTTCACGCTTTCCATATTTTGATGTCAATTTTTGGGTTCTTTACTTTTAGGGAGGAATAAAACATAGCTAAAATAAAGACCATGTTCCTTGAAACTTCAAATAAGAAAACAAGAAGGTTGATACTTCTTTGCAACAGACCTGAATGAACGAACGCCATGCTCCTGCTTCTCCTGAATGGATGGATTCGAAGTTCAGCAGCGTGAGGCCATGTTCCTTGAGCTCCAAGACACGTATCGCTGCCTGCACTGATAACGGCCTTCCTCTTAGCATCAACGTCGAGCACCTGCTGGAGACCGACTATCTCGGCAAAGTGAGCGCGATCCCGTTGGGGGACCCGAGCGGCCTGAGCGCGACCCCGTTCGGCAAAGCGAGCGCGCCCACGACGGCCGGGATCCGGCAGCGAGTCCGGCTGGAGCAGGACACAGGAGTGGACGTCGTGGGTGCCATGGAGGTCCTCCGGCAGCGGCGCGTACCTGGAAGGCTGGAACGACAGCCTCTTTTGCAGCGCGTCGCCGAGCGACGGGAATGAGTAGTAGGTCGCGGCCCCGCAGACGAGGAGCAGCAGATACCGGGGAGGGGCGGAGCAGGCGAAGGTCATGGGCGGTGGGCGGTGGGGATGCCGCGGTGGCGGTGGCGGTGGCGGTGGCGGTGGCGGCGGCGACGGCGACGGCGAGTGGAGGTACCGCATCCAGCCTTTGGGCTCATGGCCCATACGATCCCCGTCGCCCGCTGGATTAGAATCAGTAGGCCCATGAGTTAGAAAAGGATTTGTGGCTTAAAATGTTTAATGCCGTAGGATTTGTGGCTTAGAATCAGTAGAATCAGTAGGCCCGTCGTCTGGTTTGGTTAATGCCGTAGGGCGGAGCATGAGAAATACGGCCACAAGCATCTAAGCCCTTGTTTAGTTCGCGAAAAGTTTTCCCAAAAAGTGCTACAGTACCCGTCACATCGAATCTTGCGGTACATGCATGAAGCATTAAATGTAGACGAAAATAAAAACTAATTGCACAGTTTTGTTGGAAATTGCGAGACGAACGTTTTGAGCCTAATTAATCCATAATTGAACACTAATTACCAAATAAAAACGAAATTGCTACAGTAGCCAAATTTCGCACTTTTCGCGAACTAAACGCGCGCTAAAGATAGATGTTCGTTTGAATGCGCATGCTGCAAGTGTCTGTTTCAACTGTTTAAAATGTTTCAGAGATATATTGCAAGTGTTTTATACGAATGTTGCAAAAGTAGATCGGGATGTTGTTTATGTTGCAATGGCTATACACGTATGTTGCAAGCGTCTGTTTCAAATGTTTCATCTATTTTATCAACGTATGTTGCAATTGTTTTTATTTGAATGTTACATATGTTTTATACATATGTTGTAAGTGTTTTTATCTAGATGTTGCGTATGTTTTGCAATGGCTTTTCAAGTGTTTTTTTAGGTGTTTTTTAAGTGTTTCACATGCATGTTTCAATTATTTCATCTATCTTTAAATGCTTCGTTACAAGTGTTTCATCTAGATGTTTTCAAAAGTAGATTGGGTGTTGCATATGTTTGCAATGTGACTCACCTGCCACATCCGCCTGCTGCAGCTGTTGGGACGCCATGCATGCATGTGGGAAGTGGAGGGATGGAGCATTGCGCGGCTATGGGCGCTAGAAGCAAAGGGGGGAGCGCGGGGAGCGACGCGGGAGGTCCCTGCCTAGCGCGAGCGTGCAGCAACCGCGAGCGTCCGGACACGTGCTTCGATCCGGACATCCGGTCGCTAGTAACTCCCTTTATTTTAAGCATGTGTAATCCTAATGACAATTCGATCCCACAAGCTTAGACACACGTTTGGTTCGTACCCTCGGGTGCCAAGCTAAACTTTGGTCGTGTCCGGGTAACTTGACTAGAGTTTGGGTCAGCACTAAAATTTGGTGGTGCCATTGTGCCAAGTGGAGCACTCTAGCGTGTCAGCTATGAGGTGGTCACACTAAATGCATTTTTTCGGTCAAACACCCGTTTGGTATGCCCTGGAGCTCTAGTGAAACTGGAGACATTTTAAAACAGGTTTGGCAAGCCTGCGTGTTGCAACGGAAAAAAATCCATCAAATGTTCATGGAAAACATAACGACGAAATTCTACATATTTATATATGCTAGGAAACGTGTTCGTGCATTGCACGGAACCGAGTTACACTCGGAAATTGAACTTCGTATCATTGTTAGATAGAGTTATTCTAACTTGTATGAACACGGGTTATCATCTAAATCATATCATTATCAAAAAAAATCTAAATCGTATACCCTTTCCTATGGAGGCTCGATTAGCTACCATAAATCTACCCATCCTTAATTCATTCTCATCCATCCACCCGTCATTTTTTTATAAACTATGTTCTCCAAACCTTAAGAACCTATTTGGAAGAAGAGACTATTGCGAGAAATCAGAGATCAGTAAACAAAAAAAAGTATTTCATCTATCCCTAAATAAATAGATTCCTAGATCAAGAATTTGTCTATTCAGAATAATCAAATTAATCTCTAGGGATGGCTTTTAGTGATACTAATCTATCATAAACTTGTTAGAATTTATTTTTCCTCGATCGGTTTATCTTAAATTGCTTATTGCACCCTCCCATCTTCCTATTCATATCATATTCACGAGGGACAAAGGGAGTACACAATATGGGTGTTTTGCGAACGCATGAATCTATCTATATGATATGAATACGAAGTTTGAAACGCCACGCGGAGTAGTGATGGATTAAATTAGGAAAGATGATGTAATTAATATGGTTACCTTTTTAGCAAAATTGATATGATACTTTAATTTTCAATTGGATAGTATTCCATATGGGATGGTCACGTACCAGACTCATGTCGTTCGTGCTTATGTCCTCCAATTTTCCCATTGGTACAGCCATGCTTTCCTGCTCCCGCCCAATCTCCGGAGCTCTTTTGTGATCCCTTGTCTGATCTGATCTGATCTAACTTTGGTTTCAACTTTTAGTGCAGCACCATCGAGCCTTTCTTGCAGCAGCAGCTGCTCCGTCCCAATCCCTGTGGCCGAGGACCTCGAGCCAGGGGTGGTGGTGGTCTAGTGTATGAGACCTCCTCGAGGTGTCGCGTTGCGCCGTGCCGACAATAATGGGACGTACTCCATTGGCACAACACCATCACCGAGACTCCCCCGCCACCACCGCTGGGGCATGGACACAGGGCACCGTCTGGACTCCATGACTGAGAGACACTTTGCTCGGATTAGAATTAGAATTCCTATTTAGATTAGTCACGATCGCACAAACCTATTTGGATTAGGATTCTTCACTATTTAGATTACCTTAAAACAACTTGCATATGTCATGTAAGATATGAGGGTTTGACTCGTATGAGCACAAGTTATATATAAATCTGGACGGAAGAAACTCTCCATTATCCGGTAGTTAGATGAAGACGGAAAAAAAAAAAATGAATGGACCAGAAAAATAGGCTGAAATTTTGCCTTGTGGACTAGCAACCCCTAGAAATGAAATTGAAGCTGTGGTCAGAATTGAATTACAAAATTCATGATTGATGAGAATATATATTGTAGAAAATTCTGGCCAACTTCATCATACTAGGGCAACCCCTTTTTGGATTATTGGAATTGGAAAATAATTTAATGCAATTTCACAATATATATTCTCACTTTAGTTATGCTAAAACAACCATTTTTTTTTACTTCATTCATGCAATTAATTAAGGTAAGTGCATTGTTGTTGCCTCATAGATGGTCTCATTTAGTGTCACGTATAATTTTAAGATGACTTATGGTCGTCTTTTAAGTTGTCTCATAGCAACTCACAGTTCTTTAATTTAAGCATAAAACAAAAGTAAAGTTGTGAGTTGCATGACAAAAATAACTCGTATAATGGTATAATAGTTTTTTCATAGTCCTAAATTTTAGCTTATGAGTCTATTGTTTCACGAAACAATGATCTCTCTCTCTCTCCTCTCTTTCTTCTCATCATAAAAAGTCCTATATGCCACTCCATGAGACGTGTAGCAATGTACTTGCCCTCAACTCACGTGAGATTTTACTTCATTCATGCAAGCAGTGAAATTTCCTTTTCATCCGACCTTGGTTACTCCATCAATTCTAGGATTGGGCACAAAACCCCCTAGAAGCAACTAATTAATGCATGATCTCCTGCCCTTTTGCACGCCACCTCTCCCCCCTTGTTCTCATTCTCATTCACCACTTTCAACTCACTAACCTCTCTAAAATACTTCCTCTTGGCTTCATTTAAGGTGTATCCTGGATGGACGGTAATTGGTAATTAGGTTTTATTTTAATCTATGTAATTAATACCGGGAATTATGGCTTGGGTCAACAAAAAACCTCCCAACAATTAAGTCAATAAGGAGTGACCTTTCCACTTAAATGACCGGCGACAGTGTAATAAGTACAGACTTGTCCTAAAAATGCTAGGTGTGCATATACGGGGAACAAAGAGATGAGTGTTTGGCATTCATATTTGTATTTGAAATAACATACATGCTTGGGCATTTTTTCTTCTTTTTGCATATTGGAAACCAATTTAATGGCCCTTAACAACTCGAATTCCTACACTTAATTTTGTTAGGAAAAAAATATATTCCCATACCCTTTTTACTTCATGCAAGCATGAGTTGAATTGTTATATTGCGATTCTTGTATAAGACTTTTTACCACTAGTCAACCCTCGATCAACCTCATTCGCCTGAGGGGTATGTCTATCTTTTGATTGATCATTATCACTTTCTGTTATCATGTACTCCCAAATTGTAGGTTGTTTTGACTTTTCCAAATACATTTATCTTATTTTATATCTAGACATAGTTTATCTAGGTGCATAGAAAAATATGTATCTAGAAAAAAATCAAAACAACCTAAAATTTAAGACAGAGGGAGTAATACTGAGCAGGTCTAGTTCGAGAAAAAAGAATATGGTAAATTGGTTGTGCTAGGTAAATTCCCCATGCGTTGCCATGGCATTTGGAAAGAAATTAGAAACATAGACATTAAAGAGGTTGATGGGGAGTGGAATAACTGCATCATGGTATATTTGAGATTTGAGATTTCATAGTAGTTGGACATGTAAATGCAAGTAATTTGTTTCATCTCAGTATAGTTACTTTGTACCTTGAGCAAAGATACCAAACCTAGTCTACATAGGGAAGATACAACTAGAAGAAAATAATAGGAAGAGAGTAAGAGCTGACTCATATTAAAGACATATATACCTCTAATGACACAATGCATATATTGCATAATGTATGAAAATGACCAAAATATTTCAATGAATAAAATTTAATTTGGAACACAATATGTCAACGGTGAGGAAAAATGTATCAGAACATGGCTAGTAGCTTAGTCATTTTAAAATGATTAGCCTAAGCACAATCTACATAGGACATTGATAACACAATAAGCATCTTATGCATGTGAGAGATAGAATGTAGTGGGATTTTGCTTTATAACAAATATAGATACGTCTGTCATGAAACATATGTGTATGTATATCTTTGTTCATTATGATTTTATTGGGTCAGAGCATCTCTTATAGGGACCCTACTCTGCTTTCTGGAGGTAAA